AACATTATAAACTGTATGATAAAATGAATAGCCTAAATTGCACTTTGATAGATTTCAAGCATTTCACAAACTACCAGAGTATGAATGCCATTCATCATAATAAAAATAAGCTAGAATGACTAAGATAATTTTAATACCAGACCATAAACTCCAATTCAAGGGAGGGAGTGCTGACTTATATTTCTCCCTATTTGGGAGAACATAGTATCTATTCTCTTCAACTTTATGGTTTTAGGGCTAGGGCTATGGTAAAAAACAAAAAGTATCACTGAACTCTTGTTATATATTTAACAACTCATCAGAAAGAAGCTATTATTATTCCTGTTTTGCAGTTAAGAAACGGAGTTTAGAGAGATTAAATGACTTAAGGTCACAAAAAATAATAAAAGTTATACCAGAAATTTCAACATGCTTCTCTAGAATTTGTGTTCCAAACTACCACAGTCTCCGACTGAATCAATGTCTACTTCTTCCCTCTCATTTTCAACCAATGATCCTAGATCAGCCTTTTGAATGAATAGAAAATATCCAACTCAATATATAATGATTACTCTGGATTTTTATAGTCTAAAGGAAGACCACACCTATTTGCTACTTACTATTCTCCAGATAGATGCCAAATACTATCTTGAACTACAGTGTACTTCACAGTTTGGCTTCTAACTTTTCTCAAGGCTTATGTTAATGCCATTCTGTCCTTTAATTTTTGTGGAAGTATTTTATTCTGCCACGCCAGCAAGGCTAGTTTCTTCACTCAAGGAAAATCTTTGTCCCTTATTTGCCTGGTTAACTTCTTCTCAAACTTACAATATTTTGACTTCTTATTCTGTCACTCAGAATTATTAGTCCTTCCCAACTATGTGTCTGATATGTGTAGCATCGTCGTCTATATTATTGGCAATTGTACCTGATATAGTTGCATATGTCACAAATAAAATTATAGACCACAGTAGAACATGATGTTAGGTGAATGCTCGTAAGTGTTTCTGTTGATCTTGACTGGGCGTGCTCATGTTACTGGGGTTGGCTGGTCTATACTGGCACACATTGACGCTAATCCATGTGGCCTTATGTTCCTCTGGAGACCTGCAGACTAGCCTAGATGTGAACTCATCTGTCAAGTGACTGAAGGGCCAGAATGATACCAATTGTACCTCATTCGGTAACATATCTGCTAAAATCACATTAGCCAATCCCATAATCAGGAGATTGATCCAATCACACGGCCCATTGTGAATGGGCAATATAAAGTTACATGAAGGACATAGAAACAAGAAGGTACAAAGGATTTGAGACAAATATATGTTTCTGACTTCAACCATTTGAGAGTCTTGATATTCCATCAGATAACTTTATTTCAAACTATTTAGAAAAATAAAAGGGAGTGCTGATATACATTCTCAGGAAATTGTAACAATAAAAACTAGTATTTTGGCTCTGGCTGGGTTTTCCAAGAATCTAAATAAGGTTTACAGGAAATGATTATACAATTGCAGATCTTCCTAAAATGTCTGATTTTATTAAAATGTACAATAAAAACTATATATTTTCTCAGCAAGTTCACAATCTTTAGTGGGATTTAGTTTCTACTATATATAGCACTAAGTTTGATATCCTCAATTGCTATCCCAGTTTGTATTGAAGAAACATGACAGATCTACTGTATTTGAAAATCATGATCACTGAATACTTCTTTGGAAACAAATTCTCAGAGAGCAAAATAGAAATACTGATTTGGTGTTTTGAATGATATATCCCATAATCTCTACATTGCAGATACTATCTAATTCTAAAAAGGCTTTGCAACATGAACATATGACATTACCAAGCATGCAGAATATTCTAAATCTCTCAGAGGACACCTTCCACTATGTCAAGGGGACAGAATGCTGCAGTCGGTTTCTTTTGATTTAGGATTGCTTCTGTCATCACAGAGAAAAAAATAACAACACATAATAAAAATAAGCTAGAATGACTAAGATAATTTTAATACCAGACCATAAACTCCAATTCAAGCCGAGGAAGCTAAGATAATATCCTGAAGTCAGTAGAAGCTTCTTTATTTGATAGCAAACATTTTAAATGTCAACATTTTTCTGAACTTAAAATCAAAACCAAAATAAGAAGAGATTCAGTTGCATTGCATTTTTATATTTAGTGACAGTGTCTTTCTCTTGTATTTATTGGGAAATGTATGAATACATAGAATATACTAAGCATGTAGATTACAAAATGTTTTAAAAACTCATTTATCTTTCTCAATCTTCTCATGTTACAATTATTTTTGTTCTTTTTTTTTTTTTTTTTTACAGTCAGTTTTCTATTACTATTTCTGTTGGCCTAGATCTTACTCTAAGGCAGCAAGAACTTTTGACCCAAAAGGATGTCAACCTACTTTGTACTGGGTGTGCTTCTCATCCTCTTTCCATTCTTTGTTGTAATTTCTGATGGGACAAAAAAGATATCTATATATATCTTTCATCACTGGACTATTTCATGGTAAAAGAATATTTTAGGATAGCACACAGCACGTTATATTAATTAAGGTATGATGTTTATACCACATAAACAAGAAAATTATACAAATGTTGTCCCCCTCATCCCCCAAGGAGAGCCAGTTGTTAAATATTTACATCACTGAGTATGTGATACTACCACACATTCTTCACTTGGAAGACCATGCCCTCATTGAATGATATGCTGTGTGGGATTCAGTGTTTGTGGATCAAGCATTGTAAAGCTTGTAATGCTGGCTGAGGCTCTGTGAGCAGAAAAGGAAAATGTACCCAGAATGAGTATATAGGATGAAACCACTGACCCTGACATGAAAAAACGGGCTCAGTAGAGTCAACTCTCCACAAGTGAATAGTGCCATATTGGGTACTCAGTATTGAAGTTTTATGTATTAAGAGAAGCAGCATTCTTAAAATTGTGTTCAGACTGCTAATTTACATGTCAGTGCCAAGAAAATGCATAGTTTAAAATAATATTCAGATCTAGGGACGCCTGGGTAGCTCAGTCTGTTAAGTGTCTGCCTTTGGCTCAGGTCATGATCCCAGGGTCCTGGGATCGAGCCCCACATCGGGCTCCCTGCTCAGGGGGAAGCCTGCTTCTCCCTCTGCCTGATGCTCCCCCTGCTTGTGTTCTCTCTCTCTCTCTCTCTGTCTGACAAATAAATAAAATATTAAAAAAAAATAATACTTCAAATGTAGCACGTATGAACTCGTGCCAGATTGTCTGTAAGACTTCTGGTTGTCTTTTTCTTTTTTCTCTTTTTTTCCTTTGTCTATCTCAACCATCCACATTAACAAATGTAGTAGTAATAAGAAAGTCAATTGAGATTATGATTCATTTGGTTAAACATTATAAACTGTATGATAAAATGAATAGCCTAAATTGCACTTTGATAGATTTCAAGCATTTCACAAACTACCAGAGTATGAATGCCATTCATTTCTCTCCCAAACTATGAAGGAAACGGTAGTTAAAAATGAAAAAAAAATAAATTCAATGTGTCTAAATATAAAATCTAAAGTTATAGTTTAAATATACTTGGAAGATAAATTCTAAAGATGAATTTAGAATTAAATTCAATGACCTAATTTCCTGGACCATGTACTTAAGTTAACTTAGAGACATGGTATTATATTTCTGTATATAAATTTATCTGAAAATAAAACTGATTAAGTAATATATTCTGGAAATAATGTCTCAAATCAAATAACTTATGAAATTCCTGTAAAATTAATGACTTGGTTTAATTTATTCATTTCATAGCTGCATATGAAGGCTAGCTGCTCAGTGGAGGAACGACAATATTTAAAAAAACATAGGTGCTAAATAAAAAATAGAGCTTATTGGTAGTAGCTTTGGGAAAAAATTCATTATGAAATAAATCAAGTTTAAAGTAGGTAAAAATCTCTGTTCTCACTGCATAGTGAATTATTTCATGACTTAAACTATATTAGGACATTTTATTTTGGTACATATATGGTATTAAAGATAATAGCCACTGACATCAGCAATGAGAAGTCTTATAATAAGTAAATTAATAAATATCATTTATAATGATTATGATTTATAATAAATCATTATAATCATTATTATACGTCCATCAATATGTAAGTTCAAATGGTACTTTTATTTTTTTATTTTTGTTCTTTTATTTGATTATGAATGAGAATAAATGTTTTCTCAAAATTTATTTAGCCTTTTTTTTTCTTTTGGGAAGTTTTGGTTAGTATCTATTTCTCATGAATCTGTTATTTTATCATTGTATTTTTCAATATTTATGAACTTTTTAACATATTAGGTAGGACAGTCATATATTATAGTTTTTGTAATAGTTTCTAACATGGTTTACCTTTTAATTTTTTTATATTGTTTGAGTTAACTAGGATGGTAGGTGACTCTCAGGAATTTCGCTCATAGTTGTCCAGTTATTTATCTGACCATTTATTTTTGGAGTCCTGGAGTACTTTTTATTTCTCTGCCTGAACTTAACTATTTGTACTTCTCAGGAAGTTTTATTTTATGCCCTTCCCAGGGAGATATATACCACATCTGACTTCAAATTGTGACCAAGTGCTGATGATTCTCACATTTACATTATCATCTCAAATATCCCCGGCACCCTAGCCAGATTCCTGCAAATTGCCATCTGGGTGTTCCCCACTCACCCCAAACAAAACAAGCCCCAAATTATACTTGTCAACATTCTTTACCCCTATAAATGTGTTAGCCTAAAGTAAAGAGCAACAGCTATCCGGTGTGAGAAGTCTGAACTTGCTTTATCTCAGATACATTCTCTCCTCTCCCCTCTACCCCTATCTCATAAATGTCCCCTAAATCTCCCATTTCATCTTCTTTCCATGTGCCACTGCTTTTCTTCAGATGACATTTCCTTTATCATTGAGAGACTGGTTTCTTTCCAATCTTTCAAAATTGTTTTTGTAAATTTCCTATTCTAATAACTATATTTATATTTTTCCATTTGTCAAATCAAATCTAAAGTCCTTGTCAAAAAATGTAATTAGCTTTACTAGTTACGGAAACATACACAATAGGATTTTGAGAAATATGTTTATTATTATTGGTTTTAGTATCACTTAAATATTTAAATTTTCTAGAATGAAACCTGTAGCATAATGTTCAGAAGCATAAATGAATTTCTTCTGTAGTTAGACATTTTGATGACAGCAGCAACATTATGAATGTTTTTGATAGAACAATTTCACAATTAGACCAATACTCATATGTGTGGTTTTATTTAAAATCAATGATGTCTGTAATGCCTGTGCTACTTAGGCAGTCATTCCAAATTCCTGACAGAAATCAGTAGATGATAATAAACAGCCAGACTTTGACATTATTAAATGATACATGAGATAGTTATGCTAATTTAGCCTTTGACTTATCCATCATTTACCATCCAAAAGTCTCTTTTGAAGTAAAATTGCAGTTCTATTACTTTAAAAAATGTGTGTCTGCCCATAATTTTTCATTAAAAAGACATTAACTTTTCAGAGAAATCACTAAAAAAATGTAATCCCTATTTGATTCCAGAATGCAAGGATAAATAAAACATGAACATTATTCTTATGTCAATTGATTTTACAAATCACCCTTCATCAAGATTTTATGTAAAAACGATTACCATTTATTTTCTTCATGGTATGTGAAGAAAACCTATCATTTTACATTGTGATAACGTATTTACTTTTTTATGTTGTTTTGCAGCAAATGGAAGTAATCAGAGATTTTAAAGATAGTGATGCTGGTTATTACTGCAAGAGTAAGACTAAGAAAGGATGAACGTTGGATAGTAGGAAATTTCTCAGACTACTCCGTACTATCTGTGGTGTTGAGTATGGCTCTGTTTTGTTTTCCACAGGTGATTAAAGCAGTAGAGGAAGGCTACCGTCTGCCAAGCCCCATGGACTGTCCTGCTGCTCTCTATCAGTTAATGCTGGATTGCTGGCAGAAGGACCGAAATAGCAGGCCCAAATTTGATGAGATCGTCAACATGTTGGATAAGCTGATACGTAACCCAAGTAGCTTGAAGACGCTGGTTAATGCATCGAGCAGGTATGAAGCCAGACTTGAGAGATTTTCCTAATGTAGTTAATTCACATTGATGCCATCAACATTAAACCAATAAAATCATTTTTATACACTCTAATCTATGGATCTATATGACACTAATTTATTTAAATACAGTTTTTGTATAATGTTACTCTCTCGCAATAAAATATTATTTTTAAATAATTAAAAGCATCAATGCCTAATCTGACTGTAAATGCCAGTTTCAGTAAAATGTTTACTGTAGCCAAGTTTAGGTAACATAAAAAAAGGAAATGAGGGGCACTGGGGTGGCACAGTTGGTTAAGCATCAGACGGGCTCAGGTCTCAGGGTTGTGAGATATAGCCCCATGTCAGGCTCCCTGTTGATCAGGGCGTCTGCTTGGGATTTTCTCTCCCCCTCCCTCTCCTTCTGCCTCTCCCACTTGTGCTCTCCCTCTCTCTCAAATAAAGAAATAAATCTTCAAAAAAATATTTTTAAAAAACTCAAATGTATGTATTTTGATGTATTTTGGATCTCACATAGGTGTGCATGGGACAAAATAAGGTTGTAAGATCATACGGAAAAGCCAAATAAGCACTGTTATATTGTAAACCAGATATATCTAACAATAATTACTCTTTGATTTCTTTATAACAGATTTTAGTGTCTGTCATATTTTATGAACAGTGACAACTCCTTTAGAGATTCTTTGCTCTTATTTGGTTGTACACAGATATTGGGCTAATCATCCCCCTACTGTGAAGTTGGAACAAGACTTCAAGCTGATAAATGAGTAATTTGTGGAAAAAATTCGTATGAACAAATGAGCATTTTAAAAAATTTTCTGAATGTACATGAATACATTTAAATAATTCTGCATATTTGTAAAACATGCTTTTCTCTTTAACCTGATTAATTACAGAATTATCCTCTCAAAAAAAAGTTTGATTCTATACTTTAAAAAAATTGCCAGATTGTTATTTTCACTATATTTGAGGCAGTTTTTTATTTTTACAAGAAGTGTAACCAAATTGGCTGTCTATTAGTGTGAACTAAATGAGAAATAATTTGTTAATAAAGTTACATAAGTCCTATGATTCTGACATAACATTTGTTTACTAGGCAAAAAGTCATTTTTAAATACAAATGAGGAATGAATCTTCGACTGCTGTTCAAGCATCATTAACTTTCTGTAGTAGCAACTGGAGAATTTATCTTCTTAGCGATTAGTCCTTATGTTGTTCCTGAAATATCTACTTTTAAATTATTTATTGTCATGTAAAATATTAAGCATTTCTTTCATCTACTTGTTTGAATTATGTTTTCACAAATGGACATAAAGAAAGGAAATCATAAAAAGACATTTGATGTTCTAAATTGCATTAGTTTATATTGCTATCATTATAGATTCAGAGCAGTTTAAGAATCTCCAAAAAAATTTCATATTTTTTTGTGTGCAATATATAGAATGAGCTAGCTAGGTTTCATTTAAACAGATTTGGCTTAGGACTGTACCACTCACTAGCCATCTTTTTTCAGGCATCTACAAATCTTAATTCCAAAAGATGTTAGTCCCTGATCATTGTCTTTTCCTTTATTCCCACCCATGTCACAAAACTTGGTGATTTCAGTAACCATGTAGATGATGTTTGAATATCTCTCAATACATTGAAATATTCTTCTTCAATGATTTTGGTCACTGTCCAATCTTGAACTCTGCTTCTCATAGTCATGTTCTAGAATTTGCTATTACTAAAATTGGCAACTCTTCCATAATTTCAACTTCAAGATCCTACTCTCCAAATATTTCTTCCTATATTTCTATCTTCATCAAATCTTTGACTCCCACTGTTTAAAGGCTACAAATTACAAGAAACCCATTTATTCATCCAGATAGTCATGTGTCCACGTTGTGTCATGCTATGGGCTAGGTGCTGATTATACAGCTTTGAGCAACACACTACTGGAGGAGAGAGATATTGAACAAAATAAAAACATTAAAAAACAACTTTGGTTTTGCAGTAGAGAGTAAGAATAGAATTTAGGAGGATAACTCAGAGGCTAGACTAATTGTGTAGGTAAGACATGATGATGTCTTGCACTAAAATGGCAACAAATGAGATAGAGAAGAATGGTCAGATGTGCAATATATTGGAGGTAAAATGGATAGTACACACAATGATAGATTGTGAGGGGATTGTGGACAAGGAAGGAGTGAACTGTTGGATCATATCCTAAAGTAGGGAGGACTTCAGGAGGAATTGGATGTGAAAAAGATGAGAAGTGTGGTTTCAGACATGTTGAAGTGATATTCCTATGAGAAATATGGAGGTGTGAAGTAACTGTATGAATATATGAGAAACCTAGGCTGGAGGTAAAAATTGGAGAAAAATAGATGCTACCTGAAGCATAAAAGTGGGTAAAATTGCCCATAGGGGAATTCTATCCTGAGCAGAGAAGATATAGGACCAAGTCCTAGGTCCCTCCAAATTTTAAAGTCAGGAGAAGAAGTAGCAGGCAAAAGGAGATTGAAGAGAAGTCAAGGTATATTCAATATTATAGTAGCCAAGGAAGAGAGAGAATTATTCAAAAAAGGTTGAGACAAGGTAGGATTCCAAAAGGGAGGTGGTAGTGGTGGATGTTGAAAATTTCCGAGAAGTCAATCATTTTAAAGATTGGAAATGTTTACCAATTTTGGCAAAATAGAAATCATTGCTCACCTCAATGAGAGTTATTTTTATGCAATTGGTTTGGAAGAAGATACACTGGAGTAGGTTGAAGTGTAAATGGAGTGTGAGAAAGTGCAGAGACCATGAGTAGAAAGGTATTTGTCCTATATCTTATGGTTGAAATTTACTTAGGCAAACCCCCACTGATGGACTTTTAAATTGATTTAATGTTTATTTCCCACTTACAAAAAATTTTACAAGTACCCTTTGTCATTTTCCTCATTATTTCCTTGGGATACATTTCCAGAAATAGTTCTCATCATCATATCATTATTATTATTGGCCAAAACTATGAGTTTAGTACAGTTAAGAGCATCTCATGGGTTGATTGATCCTGTTCTGTTTTCTCATGTATTTGGGGTGACATTTTGTTTTCCAAGTTCTATTACTCCTGGGGTAAATTAACAAGTACGCTTATGTAAGAGCATAAAATAAAGGATAAATAACTTGTGAACTTCCTGGGAAATCAGCTTAAATGTGCTTGAGTTTCTCTAGCAAAGTCTAGGAGCAACTGGCTTTGCACAAATTGGTCCTCATATCTAATTTTGGTAGCATTTTCTATATTATTTTTACAAACAAAAAAACAATAATAGGAAGTAAATTCATCTAAATCACGACATGGAATTTTTAGCTAATGTTTCATATCACAGAACACTTACTTATTAAGCCATTATAAGTTTTCATTGACTATGGGTAGAAAAAAATCTGAATTTTGTGTTCTATATTTTGAATAACTTTCTTCCATGTTAGTATTAGTATATATTTCCCCTATAAATATAAACCCGAAAATCCATTGTGTGCTAACATTACAATTTGTTATAAAAGAGTTAAAGTGTGACTCTTAATATTGCTATTCTCTATGTTTTAGGGTATCTAATTTGTTGGCAGAACATGGCCCACTGGGATCTGGGGCCTACAGATCAGTAGGTGAATGGCTAGAAGCAATCAAAATGGGCCGGTATACAGAGATTTTCATGGAAAATGGATACAGTTCAATGGACGCTGTGGCTCAGGTGACCTTGGAGTGAGTAATTTTTCTGATAATTTTTACATAATTGCTGGGGCGAGAAAAATTGTTCGGAATCCAATCTGGATGAGGTCAAAGGCAATCAGTTAACCTTTGTCCATGTGTGACAGCTTTCAAAGAAGCCTCTTCTTTTTTAGCCTGTACTGTTAACAACTGCATGGTAATTCTTCTGTGGCCAGTATCGTTGCTTCTTTGCTTCAGACAAAAAGCATTTGAATATTGGAATAATTGGAATAACAGCTCCTTGCTAAAATACTGGCATTTTGTTTTGTGGAAAAGATGTTTTCTTGACAAAGTTTTGATACTGGTACTTATGTTATATGAATGTAATTACAAAACAAACTGTAAGCACAATTGGTGTGGCTAGTCCTGCGTAACGACAAAACACATTCTTAAATTTTGGCTGTAATGAATACCCAGGTGGCAACAGCTTAAACAAAGCTTCCCAGGCAGAAATCTCATTTAACCTCTAACTGGTGCACCTTCTATTCTTGCAATACAAGGATATATTAGATTCTGCCTCTGATTTGTTATTTGGTACAATCTCAGTGAAACCAATTGTGCCCTTTTCTGTTTGCACGTTTAAGATAACATTTATCAAATCTTATTAAATAAAAACCACTAGAGTTAAATATTAAATTCTTTAAGGTTGTAAGTTGTTTGTATTTTATTATATACTCTGTATGTGTAATTATTTTAGCCTAATATTTGTTATTTGTGAAAATTAACTGTTGTTACGGCGGTTCCATCTAGCTTACATGAACATGAATGATGTTTTAACCTGTGAATATAGTAATAACTTACTTTAAATCACCTATAAATTCAAAGGTTAAAATATTGTTGTAAGGATTAGAACATGGTAGAACATTCTAAAGCACTAAACCACAGTCCTTATTCCATTACTTCTCATAATATGAACATTGAACAGTTGTCTTTCACCATTTCTAGGCTGACATTCTTTGCTTCATTGAATTCACTGCCCCTCCACACAAATGGTAACAGGGTACCATCATTTGTCACCAGATATTATCACATTCTCAGCCTTTTTCTTCCTCATATCTGTAACTATTGGACCTAAACTCACTACTCAGCATGCTCTCTCAATTTGCTGAATCTCATCCTCACCATCACCTCCAAATTGTATCTATTTGATGACACATATGCTTTGCCCATTATTTCTTTGGATGCTCAAAGAACTCATCTGTGCTATATTTAAAATAGTAAACAGAAAATTTTGCTGATGATTTAAAACTATTTTTACATGATTGCTATTTAATTTTTCAGTAACAATGGTCATTTTAATTTATTAAAGTCATTTGTCATTTTATATTAAAATGATACTGTAGGTATTTCTTCTACCCAATGTCAGATTACTTGTAAATATATAATAAAATTATTTGCATTAAGTGATGTCTCTTTTTTTATTAAAATAGCACATATATATATATATTTACATCCATTATCTTTTTGCTTCTTCCTTCACAGAATAATTTTAATCACAAATAATGGTTTTTGCATTACTACCTCTCTTTTACTTTATCTCTTTGGGGCCCCAAACGTTGAATATTTTAATGTTATATTTTAGCGTTTTGTTTTTTATTGCTTTTAATTACTTTTTCTTGACTTACTTGTCGACTCCTCTCTTCCCAAACTCTTCGTTTTGTATATTTTCTTTCAAGACTTAATAGCCTTCTACTATCTTCTAATTATGGTTCTCCACCCCATTTCTATTCTCTAGTTTTTGTCTGATCAGTTTTTCTCTACTCGGTTCAGCTTTTTCTCTTTGTCTCTATTACTTTGGTATCGTGTTGCCTCTTGCCATATTGCCTCCTTTCAGATACTTTGTCTTTTGATTTATTTACCTTAACCAGAAGAGTAAAGTGAAATTAGGAGACTCGTTAACATCTTCCTGTTCAGAAATGTTGGTCTCCATGCGTCAGTTGCTTCAGATTTCTGGGCAGATAATTACCCATTCCTTACTAGGAACTGAGCCAGCAAACCTCAAATCCAGTGAAGTTGATTTCCAGCACATTTAAATACATGTCCTCTTGTTTGTTGTGCTTTTTACCACATCTTTCCGATTTTATAAGAACATATTTATCAAAATATCATTTAAATAACTCACAGAACAGTGAATAATCAGTTACTTGTTTGGTCAGGAATATAAGGAAAAGGTTATCTGTGCATTTTCCTTGCCTTTCACCAAAAAAATTATTAGACACATGGCAAAGGAGCTGGGATATGAGCAAAGACAAAGACAAGCTCTCAAACATTTAGATAATGATTTTTTACACATGGTCTTTACCCGATATCTAAATACTAATTTTATGGAGGCTGCATAGTGCTATAATAAAATAATAAAGTATTATTATCAGTGTTCTTGCCAAGGCATAATAGAAACTGAGAACTGGAAATATACCTGTGATAAATGCTTAGGTGGGGGAAAAAGATAGGCTCAATTACTAAAAGGCAAGAGATCAAATTGCCATATATTTAAACTAGAATATTATGTTAGAATTTATGCCTTCAAATTTGTTCTCATAGTGGGCTTAGAAAAAGGAATAAAATATAATTTTTCAGAACTGCATACTTTGATAAAAATTTTCCTTCATATAGGTTTAATTTTGTTTGTGATTTTCTCTTT